CGTATGAACTCTCCCAGCTATAAATAGGAGCAGGTACTGCCTTTTGGAGAGGGAAGTATCCAGCAGTGAGCTTTGACAGTCGAACTGAACATTCTTGCTGTAACATTCTCATTTGTATATGTTTGTATTACTGTTTTCTGTTAATATATTTGTTTAACTCTATTCCTCTCTTGTGTCTTTTTTTCTGCCCCTAACAAAGGCCACAGCAGCAAAAAAAAAAAAATTCCTTTTTAACTTAAGAGCTGAAAGATTAAATTTTTGCTGAAGGCCAGTATTTTTGCATGACCTTTTTTTTTTTCAGCACCCCTATGCTAAGATGCTCTATCATCCAACATACATGATTAACAAAAAGGCAGTAGCTTGTTTTCTGGCCCTTAAAAATCATAAAATGTATTGAGAAAAGCATACTGCTAATCACTCTCAGTTTTGTGGTAAAATTAACAAAAGTAATTAATTTATGAAACTGGAGAAAAAATTTTGCATGTTGGTGTATAATGATAAAATAAAATAAGATTGAATCCTCTTGACTTAGTTTTACAGATTTTATCCACTTATCAGGAGATTAAAGAGTTCTATTAAATTTATTAAGATGAGATATATATATAAGAATTTAGAAAATGCTATTGTATATTCATGTTGTCAACTGAAAAATGATGTAAATTTCTTTGAAAAGAATATTTTCATGTAATATTATCATTTGTATTGTCGACGGATTCAAACATTTTCTTTTGATTTCTTTACATATTTGTTGTGTACATTGGTTTGGGAGAGTAGTGATTCTGTTTGGAAAGGTGATATTGGGGAAAAAACCTGGGCGTAGATTAATATTTGGATAATATTCAATGGTGGCACTCTCGAGGATTTTCCTTCAGAGTGAAATATTTTCTTTTTTTAGTTTCTTTCTATTGGACAAAACGTGTAGGCTAAAACCACAGTTTTCCTATTGTCATTTTTCCTTTATACATATTGTATGTATCTACAGGTTAATTCTGAGAATTTTTTTACACATATGAAGGATAAAAATATATTTTTAAGATATGCTGTATTTATGAGTTAAAGTGCTCAATATCAGGGATAGAAAAAATATAAATGTAGACACGGAGATCAACACCAAAGGACAAAAGTTTGTTTCATGCCTGAACACAGACTTCAGGCTGTATGTATGTATGTATGTATGTATGTATGTATATATATATATATATATATATATATATTTTTTTTTTCTTTTTATCATTTTATTTATATTTATTTATATATATATATATATATATATATATATATATATATATATATATATATATATATATAAAATGATAAAAAAATTATAGTTTTGAAGTCTGAGTCTAAGGCTTACACTGAAGCGATGAGTTGAATTTTATCATCTCTGGTTACCTCCCTTGCATTGTGAATGCTTGTTTACAAAAAGCATCATAGCTATGGTGGTTAATTTTAAAATAGTTATATAACAGTCCGTGTTCATGCATGTTCACAAAAATCACCATCACTGCAATCACAGTTACATTAAGTTTGTCTTCGCAATTCACCCTGAAGAATTATCTCAGTGAATATCGAAAGTAGTTGAGTTAACAAGAACTATGGCAGCTCCCTTGGTGAATTTCATCTTAACATCAAAAAGAACTAGAACGGATTATTATAAAAGTAGACATAATATGTCTATATTATTTAATGAAACATGCTTGAAAGAAGATATGCTTCCTATATCTATCTATCTATCTATCATATATATATATATATATATATATATATATATATGCATGTTTCATTAAAAATGACAGACAATGTACTACGGTTAAGCTTTTTATTTAATTTTTCTTGCGTTCTAACAAGAGCTTTTTATCTAGACAAAGGGTGTGTAAGAACTGTCCAAATGTTTTATATTTCCGAGTGCTTATATATATCATATATTAACTGCATCCACCTGCAAAAAAAAGACTAAAAATAATGGAAGCTTTAATAATAAAAAAGAAAAAGCCAACTCTTAACAATATTAAATACGAACAAAGCCACAATGTGCTAACAGTATTTGGAAATTAAAAACATCCCTACCACACACTAAGACATACACAGAATGCACACACTCAATTAAGCTGAAAAATTGAATCATCCTTGTTAATGGCTAAAGGTATAGCCGAAAGCGCTGTGTTTTATACTGCAATTATGCTGAGCAGAAAGCAATGAAGAATTTTAAACACTTTTTAAATATTATAAATTATTTAATTAAACTTTAAAAAAATGAAAACAATTCTTATAAAAATGAATTATTCATTGAAAAAATTTCTTAAGACAATAGTATCCTTAATAAAACTTATTTATCAAAGCAATTAAAAGCTTTTCTAATTAAATAATGTAATAATTTTATTGCATTTTTTATTTTACAATTCAGAACAGATTTTTGGTGAAAGGGCCAACTGTTTTACAAAAATTTCTAAAAATAATTAAAAAATACGTTGGTCTTTCCTCTTAATAATAACATAAACATTTTGCTGATAAACCTTTGTTTTTATTGAGTTTAGGGCCTTTTTTATTATGCTATGCTGTTTTTTTCTGTGAAAAAGTGGCGGTACCTAATATATGGGTATGTGTGTGTGTGTGTGTGTGTGAATATGTAGGATTAATATAGATATGAAATTTATCACTTAACTGATTAAGATTATACTCAGCACCTTGACTTCAGAGTTTTCTAGATAAACATTTTAGTAATCGTTCAGTCCACTCTTCAGGAGGTTTCAATAATTGAGTATAGATTTTCTCATTTTTTTTATTTAAATAATAATTTATGTGCTATTTATCAGTGTTAGGCTCAATGTTTTTTTCCCTCTTTTTATGTGCATGTGTGTATATGTTGAATGTCATGGTTATTTCCCTTTGTCATTATTTTTTTGTCTCCTCCTACTCTCTCCTCATTACTTTTTCTTTCTTTTTTTCTCTTTCAGCTCTGAGTGTCAAAGATAATGTAAAAATGTCAGTTTTGGTATTACGGCCGACTTTTTGGTTATTTATCATAATCTGTTTTCTTGAATGTTCTGGGATTTACTTAAGTTTGGTTAATATAAGTATATTCTGCTTTTTATATATTTCTTGTTTAAATAATAATTTTTTTGATTAATGCTTAAATGGCAAAGTAAATATTACTTTATATATCTTCACTCTAATGCCTATTTTACGTTGAAATAGTGGTTCACATATGATCATTGAAGTTAAGCAATGTTGAGTTTGATCACTACCTAGAAGAATAACCACTTGAGAATACCAGCTGCTGTAAGCTTGGATGTCCAGGTGGTGTAATGAATAATGGCTCATTATTGGAAATCAGAGAGCCAAGATCTAATTCCAGTCATGTTTGTTTTATTTACTTATGCATCAATAGCCATGGGAAAGGGGTATGAATCAGTTGCTTCTTCCCCAGCTATGGGTTAATTAGTAGGATTTGTATCAGTAATCATTATTATCTCTAAAAATTTCTTACAATCTAAAAATATTTTCTAGCTTCAATTAAATTGCAAAACACTGGCAAGGTGTAAAATCAATCAATATATATATATATATATATATATATATATATATATATATATATATCTTTCCTGACAAATCAACCATGGTGAGGTTTGAACTTGGGTTTCATGGTCAGAAAGCGAATATTCTAACCACTCAGCTACGCGCATTATCAGTCTGGAGGAGAACGATCCCAATGAAAAGAAAAAGAGCACCATGATCACTTCATCAGAAAATTGGAAACAACATGCTGTACTGATTGGATTTGTGTCAGAAGCTCCAATATGAACATTTCAGACGACAATGCAAAGGATTTGGAAAAATTTAGATCCATTCTAATGGTGATTAAAAATTTACAGCAGCTTGGAAAACTCGCTCTGATCGTTTTGATAAGTAAAGAACTCCCAAATTTGTTGGTGAGGGCCTAAGACTCAACATCGAGGCCTACATTAAATACAGGAGGTAGTGCTGCTCTGGGTTTGGAGGGTGGCTGCTGGAAGACCCTATGTGTGGCAACAGGACTCTGCACCATGCCACACAAGCAGGAGAAACCTGTCATGGCTGGCAGGCAATTTCTGTGACCACATCACCCCTTACATCTAGCAACCTAACTCCCCAGACTGCAAATTCCTTGATTATTATGTGTGGACCACAGTTGAGTGAGAAACCAACAAAACTCCTTGTCACACCAAAGATGAACTGAAGGCAAGGATTATGACAGCATTCACCAACTTAAACAAGGAAACTGTACAGAAGAAATTCCAAAGTCGTCTGCGAACTGTGGTTGAAACCAATGGAGATTTTATTGAATAAATTTACTCTTTAGCGTTTCAAGATATTTTTGTGTTATTTTGGTAAAATATATGTTAAAATGAGATATCAGTGTTATTTTCATTTTTGTGTAATTTAGGTAACAATTTATCCATCGCACCTTGTGTGTGTGTGTGTGTATATATATATATATATATATATATATATATATATATATATATAATACATGTAATTTGATAGTTGTAGATTTAGGCAGCAATCCTTCCTTTATGCCTGTTTATTAAAAACGACAGACTACGGTTGAGCTTTTTATTTAATTTTTCTTGTGTTCTGACAAGAGCTTTCTTTTCTGGACAAAGAGTGTGTAAGAACTGTCCGAATGTTCTATATTTCCGAGCGCTTTCAGCTATACCTTTAGCCATTATCAAGGATGATTTGATTATCAACTTAGTAGAGTGTGTGCGTTCTGTGTATGTTCAGTGTGTGGTAGTGATGTTTCTAATTTCCGAAATCCACTCGGTCAATGCACAGAACGCACACACTCTACTAAGCTAATAAATAAAAATCTCAACCGTAGTACCTTGTCTGTTGTTTTTAATGAAAACATAATTATAATATATATATATATATATATATATATATATATATATATATATATATATATATATATATATATTATAGTGCACATAAAAAAATGTTTTTTTTTATCCTTTCAGAAAACATTGGTTCTCCTCTGAGATATGGCTATGCAACTGTTGTACCTGTTATTTGTGCAAGTATTGGTTATTACAAGAAGTCCTTGGATTTTTCTGGCTATTTAGCAGGTCTGTAAATGTCCAAGTTTTTGTCTTCAGATCCGATGATTTAAAATGTATCAACTTTTTTCATTTTAACATAAACACTGGAGTTGTAAACATTATCTCAAGTTTGATAAGTGATGTAACAATTTTTCAGTAAGAGAAACAGTTCTCTAAGTTTCCCCATAAGCAACTTTAGAATTAGCAGCCATTAGCAGACCCACAACTGCTGTCAGCACCCATCATGTCACCCAGGTAAGAAAAAGAGTCTACTATCTCATCTTTATGATGAATCTACTGGGATTGACTCACAAGGATATCCGTTGATGCGTCTCGCAAAGTCACAACATCTGCCACACCTGACGCTAGCATCTTTAGCAACTTCAGCCTGAACACTTTTGAATTTCTCATCGACTCAATAATGACATATATTTCCATTTTCCAAAGGTATATAAGGTATACATATTAGCATCACATACCATCTACATAATAAATATTAAGAGATAGAAAAAAACATTTAAGTGGGAAAAGGGCACCTCAGAGTGTTACATGTTGATATTTTCTCATTTTTCTCCCTAAACAGAACACTGTTTTTTCTACCTCTCTTAATGTTTTACTGTGACAATATCTCCTTTTATAACATTATAACAAGACCCCCTCTTGACACATGTGGGCCTAGGGAATCTCACATTGCCGTTTAATCTATCCCACGCATGTTTTGTTTAAGTTTGGATCTGATGAAGTCTTGTGGATCATGTGTATTTACCTTTCATATTAACAATTACTATTTGTAACCATTCAGTGTAAGACTAAAATTTCTCTTTTATTATTGATACTTGGACAAAGAAAAAAAACTTGAGTGCTTTGAAAAAAAAAAAAGAACATTATTACAGAACATTTTTTTCCCAGTTTCCAAGTAATTTATTCATTGGGAACTTGCCAGGAATAAATTGAAATCTATTTTTCTTTCATTCTCTGTTTACCCCCACTTTCTTTATATATATATATATATATATATATATATATATAAGTGGATATAGAGATCAACACCCAGTGGTAACAGTCTGCTTCATGCTAAACACAATCGTCAGGCCATGTGTGTTGGCTTTTGACTGGACTATACATGATGGTGCATTATGGGTAGTTCTGTTATTCTAACAGTTTTGGGTGGATCGTAATAGTTATATTTCAAATTATTCTAGAGGCTATTGCGTGTGTGTAAAATTTCAGATATAACTAAAAAATATATTTGTAAAAGTAAAATATAAATAAATACAAGTCAATGTGGTTCATCATCTGATGGGCTTTTGGCTTGATAAAGTATGTCAGAAGACAAAATGTATTAACTGAGATAAGTTTTCCTTTTGTTTGTATTCATATATATATATATATATATATATATATACACGCATATACTATATATTACTATATAAAATATATTGCAGAACAGGTATGTTGACCTTGACTTGTATATAAAAATACGTATGCTGTTGGCACACTGAATAATTTTAAAAACTTAAGTCGGTACATAGTTAGCAAAAGGTTGCTGACCTCTGGCCTAGTACATACTGCTTAGCTCAGGGATTGAACTTGCACCATTTCATCAAATTTGCCGAGCAGTGTGTACTTGGATTCAGTGGAAACTTTTGTGGGAGAAAAGAATAACAAATTCATTGGCAAGATACTTTGTGCATGGTATTCAATAGGTAACACCAAAATGCATGCCCTCTTTTAATAATGAAAGCAGAAAAAATGCTACTGCAGTTTTTAAAAATTTACCAAAAGTTGGGTAATTAAGTGATTTAAATGAGATTTTCAGTACTTATTCAATAGGTCATTATTTTAAAAAAAACTTTGTGGAAATGAAGAGGCCATTTTTTATAGAAACTTTGTGGAAATATTTTGAGGGAGGTCAGTTTCACCCCTCCACTTCAATATATTGTGAACACTTTTAAATTTGGCAGGTACACTTTTAAATTAGGCAGGTACACTTTTAAATTAGGCAGGTACACTTTAGTTATTAAATTTGAGCTCTTTTTTTGTAAATGCTTACAGTGAAATCACACAGAAAACACTGGTTCTTGTTTGATCACTGAAGTTAAGCAACATCAAACCAGGTCAGTACAAAGGGTTGATAAGTCATAAAAATACAAATCAATCTTTTTGGTAAATAAAAAAAATAGATTTATTCTTTTTTCACATGTATTTTTAAAGATTAAATTATTGCAGCTCTATGACAAAACTTTATCCTTCTCAAGGTCTGTGCAACACCAAGACATCTGCAAAACTCTGATCTAGAATGCTGTTAATGCCAGAAGGCACTTGGCCCAAAGAGGATGGATGTAGATTTTTAAATCTTTCAGAAATTCTTTTCAGAATGAGCAAATAATTTTGTGTTTTCATCTTTTCTTTTCAGCACTTGTTATTGGCTTTCTGCTAGCAATTAGCAATTACTGCTTTTCAACATCTCTGATAGTTTTCTTCTTCACGGCATCTTCTGTGACAAAGTTCCGCAGTCACAAGAAACGGCAATTGGAAGAAAATTTTAAAGAAGGTGAGTTAATTCATTAAGATTTTTTACTTGACTGAACATAAAACACAAACCACAAATCCAAATTATCAACAGCATTTCATAATCTGTTCAGGTTGATAATGAGTGTAACAACTTATATTTTTAAAATATATATATATCTTATCTTACTTATTATAAAACATAGGTTGTGTGTGTGTGTGTGTGTCTGTAACGTTTATATGTTGGATTGAATTTCCTACATTTTTTAGCCGATTTCAACAAAACTTCACAGGACTACATAAAATTACCTTGTGGTGGTTCTAACGTAATAAAAATGGAAAAAAAATACACTTGTTTTTTAATAAAATCAATTTGAAAACACGATTAAGACACATCGTGAGAATGAAAAGGGGACAACTCACCCACGAAAATGTAAACAAAAGAGCATAGCATGATGAAAAAGACGCTCGAACTTGGCGAAAAAACAAAATTTTATCGTCTAATGTTCATATTATTATTAAAGAGGAAAGATCAAAGTATTTTGGGGTATTTTTTTACATTTTGTAATCATTCCTAGGACGTCTGAAATTTTTGTTAAAAATATTGTTTTTTTTTTTCAAAAAAAGGCAGATAATCATTTTCAATCATTTTTTCGATTTGATAAAAAAAAGATTAAAATCTTACTTTGATATTCTTTTAAAAGTCAATTATCATTTTTTTCAAAACTGATTTTAATAAAAACAGATATTATACTGTTTATTTAAAATATTTTGAACCAAGCTTAACTTAGCTTTCTGCACCGAAAAAATGTAATTTGAAAATAAAACAAAAGCAGGTCATAACCTTTCGCGTCGCTTGACGATTGACGAAAGGCACATTCATGACGTTTAGATAACTTACGGAGGAGAATTCTTTCTACGGATGGAAGGAAGTGAAATTATTTAAGTGAACAAATTATTTACCTTGTTACTTTTAAGGAAAACTTTCAGCGCTCTAATTTTTTATTTTTTATTTTTTTTTTGTACTGAGCTTTCATTTTTACGTTTACGATGCTTTATGGAAAATATAAAGAAATTAAAAAATAAGACTGTTAATAGTGAGATTAAATTTCATAAGAAAAAGGTATCTAATTAATTTAGGTACCTTTCTTATGAAATTTTATCAAAACTGTACATAAAATACTATAATTTTATGTACATTTATTACATTTTACTGTGTTATTTGTATTTCCATTCATTTTATTATTAATTTTGATATTTCATTTATGGAAAAATGTCATAACTGAGATTAATATAAAAATAAGATCATATAAATTAAAGTTTAGCAGTAGTTAAATTTCATAAGATGATACTGTTACTTGTAGGTACCCTTCTCAGTTGAAATTGAAAACTCAAATTAACTTCTCCATACGTGTTTCAAAAAAGTAAAGGGCTTAACAGCGGGGAACAATGCTGAACTCAAATAATGCAACTAAATTGTATTCTGGTTGGTCTTCCATACTTCATAATTACTGTCCGACTATAAACACAAAAATTACATTTCTTAATTACCATGGCTAATCTGATTGGTCCAAATTATACAATTTTCAAAGCGCTAGACAATGACAATCTCACACGGACATTTTGAAAGGTTGATGTTGCTTTTAACTAATGTTAAAATATTTTTTAAAATTCAATTTAAACATTTTTAAAAATCTTTTTAAAATTAAAGAAATAAGAAATAATTGTATTAAAAATTCAATTTTCATTGAAAAAATTTTTTGCTTTCAGAAAATATTGTCCATATTCATAAAAACAAATTAAAACAAATAAAAGCATTTGAAACTAAATAATATATTTGTTTTATTGAGTTTTTGTATGTTACAATTCACAGCTGATTTTCAGGTACGTTGGCAAAAAAAAAAAAAAACATGATTTGCATTCTTCAAAGCCTTGTGCTTTTAACTATTGGAATCACTAAAACCGATGGTCTCAATTTCTAGAGTTTTTCATAAAAATTAGTTATGGGGTGTTAATAAATATAAAAAAAAATATTTCTGCCATGACTTTAATAAAAAAAAATATTTATAATAATTTCGATCATCTGTGAATAGTTTCTGAAAGTTTCATTAACATCTGACAATTATTTTTATTTTTGCAAGATTTTCCAAATTAATGTGTGTAAATACAAAAAAATAAAAAATTATCTATGTTATTTACTACCCCTTGTTGCGATAAAAGAGAAACAAGGTTTTTAAATCAAAATTTAGAATATTCTAAAAGATGGAAAAATTTTAAAAAAATAATTAAAAAAAAATCTAATCTATCCTCTTCATAAAAAAATAAGCATTTTGACGATAAAATTTTGTTTTCATAAACTTTGGCGTCTTTTTCATCAGACTATGCTCTATGTTTTAGCGATTCCATGGAGTGACTTAGGTTAAAAAACCCAGGTTGTTTATGTGTGTGTGTGTGTGTGTGTTCCTTTATATATGGGATCAGATTTCTTACATTTTTCAGCCGATAAAACAAACATCCATTTTTTTTTCGTCAGGTAGTATTTCTTATTGTCTTGCACACTTTTTTCTTTATTTACATTCAAAATGCTTTAAAAATTCCATTTACAAGACAATTGTTTATAATAAAATTCTATTCACCAATTGATAGACTCATAACGATTGTAAACAATGTTTTTGTTTGAATTTGGGTTGGACCAATTCGTTAAAAAAAAAAAAAAAACTAATTAAGACATGCGTGCCCGTCAACCTTAAACAATAATCTTTGTCAATTTTATTTTTGAGTCTTTATGATGGTCGATACTTGATCTATCTCTTACTGTTACATCCCCGGGCAACACCGGGCTCTACTGCTAGTATATATATATATACACACACGCACAGTCCATCCCCAAAACTGTATGCACACTTCAGGAAAGAAAAAAGCTTGTATAGATATTGTAATATAAAATTTATTCAGACATCATGAAATTAACACAAGTTACCTTTGGACTCTACAATCACAAGAGATGCTCAAAATGGTGGCATTTAACTTCTAGATATTTATTAGTACGGCGAATTACGGCTTGGGCAACATTGTCCAAAGTGTCCAATGGGATTGCTGCACATGCATTTGCAATTTCTTTAGAGTCCCCCGTAGAATGTCTGCAGGTGTTAAATCAGGAGAATTTCTTTCCTGAAATGTGTATACATTTTTTTGCAGACTCTGTGAGTGTATTTATATATATATATATACACACACACACACTTTATTTTAGGATATTACATCAACAACATGTCAAAAAAAACACTACACAAATGCAATTGTGTTTCATTGCAAATCAATGCATATTAGTAAATAACTGATGAGTAGACTATTTATTGAGTTTTAAAAACAAGATACACCCTCTTTTCATGAGAAGATAAAGAGTAAGAAAGGAGCGGAGATGGTTGTTTGGAGATGTTTTGTGTTTACTCATATCAACCAATCAGAATGGTCTGCACTAAATTCAAAGTATGGGGAGAAGCAAAAGTTAAGAAGCAGCCGTACAGCCGGACATGACCTGCAGATTACAATCATAGATGGCACCCATATGCCCTATAGAACTGGATGTAAATGGCTATATATTGTACACTAGACGATATCATTTTCTAGGAAAGATGAAAGATAATTTAACAAGATACTCGACAAGCTACCGTTGTGTAACTTTATCAGGGTCTTGGATAGGGATGCTTTATTAAATCAAAGATTTGAATTAACAGTAAATTGTAAACATACTAAACCTTTCACCCTACAATCCTGCTAAACTTTGGAATCTGATAATTGCTTATTCTAGTATATTTAGTATATTTATAATTTAGTATAATTTTTACATTAATCTTCTAGTTGAGTTGGTAACATTTGGCACAGATGTATTGGCGTTCGGCTGACATTTTAACATTTTGCATTGATTGGTTACTGTTATTAATACCATATATAAAGAACCCTTAATCAACAGCTGCACATAAGTTAGGTCTATATGGTTTAATAAATCATTTGTTTCTTAAAGTGCCTGTTTATTTACCAACTGTAAAAGAGAGTTTTTTTTTTGTTTTTTTAAACCTCACAGGGAATGTAGTTTGTTGAGTATCTTAAATTACCTTTCATCTTTCCTAGGAAAATGACATTGTCTAATTTACAATATTGTAGCCATTTACATCTGATTGTATTCGGTGTCCAGGTGCCATCTATGATTCTGATCTGTGAGTTATGACCTTTCCTACAGGCATTTCTTAACTTTTGCTTCTCCCCATACTTTGAATATAGTGTAGGCCATTCCAATTGGTTGATCTGAGTAAAAACAGAACAAACCCTGCAATCATCTCCTCTCCCTTTTTTTCTTACTCTTTTTCTTCTCGTGAAGAGAGTGTGTATCTTGTTTTTAAATCTCAATAAATAGTCTAATCACTAGTTATTTACTAATGCCTAATGAGAAGTGTTGATTCGCATCAAAACACAACTGCATTTGTGTAGCGTGTTTGACATGTTGTTGTTGTAATATCCTAAAATAAAGAATATTTCTCTACTTTGTATTGAGCCCTCATTTAAATTGAATGTTACAAATGTTGGAATTAGACTATTTGTTCTCATTTTATACTCACATATATATATATATATATAATAAATACGAATGTCAGTGTGTCACTGTGTCACACTTTTCAACTTTACTCATAGCCCAACATATTATACCATTTTGGAATCAGGCTAACTCTGTGAGCAAATTAAAAACATTCTAGGCTGGATGCAAACTTGCAATCCTGAAATTTTGAATTCCCAAGTTTTCATTACTGTGATTGTTTTTGGCAATTTTTTTTACGTGATTTTTTGCAACAATTTTTTTGTTTGAAAACAATTTTTATAATTTTGAAATAAATTTGGGAATAATTGAAATTAATTGTAAAATGCAGTGAAAGTCGCCCATGAAATAAAAAGTAAGGACCTACGTACATCAAATTGTCTTTAAATCAAGTGGTGGCAGAAGATATTTTGTTGAACTTTTAAAAGGTAAGCTTAAATATTAATGTAATACTGAAATGCAGCGATCAATTTTGTGTTCTTTAGTTTATTGTTGCCTATTGCATCTACTTGTCCCTACTTATTGTGATGAAGGCCTGATCAGGAACCCTCTGCAAGAGTGAGCTTAAATACCGCTTGATAAGGTGGCTTGTAAGTTAATATATATAAAATATCACAAAGTGAGTGCAGGTGGTAATAAAACGGTGCACTTGATGTAAAGTAAAAGAGCTAAAGCTTATAATGATAATATGTATTTTGTTCCTCATTCTGGAACGATATGTACGATTCTGACAAGCTTTGGGTGCAGATTGAAAACTGATAGTTATAAAATTTAAATACTAATATTTATAACCTACTGCTAAGATAGTGGAACAGTCCATTTATTTATCAGTCGTGAGTATGATGATAAACTACATCCGACAGCAAGGCCTCTGATTGGAAGATTGGTGGTTTTGAGGAGTTTGGAAGCACCACTTAATTGATGTTGTTTCCAAGTCTACCTTGATTCAGGGTCATGGTAGTAGCACCTGTTAGGGTCCCAGCTATGAGCAAATAGTGAACTCGCAAACAAAAATTTAAACATTAGAAAAGTGTAAAAATACATATTTATAGTAAAATAACCAACACTACATAGTTATAGTAAAATGACGAACAATACATTTTTTATAGTAAAATGATTAACAATATATATTTATAGTAAATTGACCAACAATACATATTTATAGTAAAATGACTAACACTACATATAGTAAAATGAACAACCATGCATTTTTATAGTAAAATGACCAACAGTACATTTTTATAGTAAAATGACCAACAGTACATTTTTATAGTAAAATGACCACAATACATTTTTATAGTAAAATGACCACAATACATTTTTATAGTAAAATGACGAACAATACATAGTTATAGTGAAATGACCAACAGTACATTTTTATAGTGAAATGACTAGCACTACATAGTTATAGTAAAATGACCAACACTATATAGTTATAGTAAAATGATTAACAATACATATTTATAGTAAAATGATTAACAATACATATTTATAGTAAAATGATTAACAATACATTTTATAGTGAAATGACCAACAATACATTTTTATAGTGAAATGACTAGCACTACATAGTTATAGTAAATGACCAACACTATATAGTTATAGTAAAATGATTAACAATATAGTAAAATGACCAACACTATATAGTTATAGTAAAATGATTAACAATATAGTAAAATGACCAACAATACATATTTATAGTAAAATGAACAACAATATATATAGTAAAATGACCAACAGTACATTTTTATATTAAAATGATGAACAATACATTTTTATAATAAAACTGTACATTTTATCTGTAGTTGAAGGCAGACATGTTCTAAATATTTCGATTTTAACATTAAATAAACCATAGAGGTTGATACGCTGTTAAACAAAATCAACCAATGAAACAACCAACATAAATAGAACTCTTTCATGACATTAAACCCGACAATTTCTTAAATGCTAACTTTTGTTTACCAAGTGAAATGCACATGAAACCTAATTAACCAAATGAAAATCGAACAACACTAAAATAAAAAAAATACCAGAATTTCTTTTTCTTCCCTTTTCATTTATGTTGGGTTTTAGTCATGAAGGTTACAACTGGTAGAACTAAGGAGTTTAGTTCATCTGAACATTCACCATGGAAATAGCAAGAGAGCAGCATAAGACTTGTGACATCTTGTCTGTGTTGCAGGGTGGAAAATAAATTGTCACCTACAAGGACGTGGAGAGACTTTTGGATTCTATCATGAGTGAAAGATGAAGACTATGTGGCTTCCAATATATGGCAGCAGTACATCATTTTCGGTCTGATCTGGCTCTTGTTAAGGTAGCGGATAACAGGGAGAGTAAGGTATCTGCTGGAGCAGTACAAGGAACTGACCATTTTCCCAGCACATTTAGTAATGGATCTCCTGTATGAGTTCCACTTTAGGTTTGGGTCAAGCCCAAATAGGTGCTCAGGGCACAGAGTCTCCCTGAGGAAACATCTGCTCATCATGATTGGTGGAAGTTCTGGGTTCAATCGATGGTGGTGGAAGGTCACTAATTTGATCTTTGAGGCATTGAATATGACCAGCCAGTTTTTCCTCCCACTGAGCTGCTAGATCTTGATCAGAAGAGAAATCAGCGGCCAATCTCTGGTCATTGAGAGTTTTAGAGGTGCATCCCTATACCGTTATCTCTATAAGCCAGTTCCACTGAAAAAGTCTACAGTCAGATCATGCTGAAAATACTGATTCTAGTTTGATTGCTGTATATTTTCTGTAACCTTTCTGTGACATTTTGTTTTCTGAGTCATGTGACATTTTGTTTTCTGAGTCATGTGACATTTTGTTTTCTGAGTCATGTGACATTTTGTTTTCTGAGTCATGTGACATTTTGTTTTCTGAGTCATGTGACATTTTGTTTTCTGAGTCATGTGACATTTTGTTTTCTGAGTCATGTGACATTTTGTTTTCTGAGTCATGTGACATTTCGTTTTCTGAGTTAATTCCTGTATGAATTGAATTTTGGGTTTCTTTTTTTTTTCTTTTTTATTCCAACAGGTGGACAGAGAAATTGGGTTCAGGTGTTATGCAACGGTGTTGTTGCAGCTGCAATAGCCTTGATCTATATAATTGATATTGGATTAAAAGAAACCCCTGTGAATTTTATCTCCTCCTACAATGCTTCTTGGCTCTCAATGTCTGTCCTAGGGGCTCTGGCTTGCTCATGTGGTGACACATTTGCCTCAGAGCTGGGACCAGTCTTGTGCTGTGGGGAGCCAAGACTTATAACCAACTTTAGAAAAGTCATAAAAGGTAAGTAAAAGGTACTCACCAATATTAATTAACAAAATTTGGAGGTAAATTAGTACCAACTTTACATGCAAGCAATTTAATCTTGTGTTCTTATCAGCTCATACAATAATACTGTTACAATTGTATGATTTTTTTAAAAAAAAATTATTCCTTAAGTAATTTTTTTACCAAATGAATCTAAAATAATCATCATAACCACAATGCTTTTAATGGGCTGGTGGGGGGGGGATGTGCAGGCAATGTAATGGGTAGCAACTTATAAGGTGAAATTGGAGAGCAAAATTCAAATTCCACTCTGGTTTGTTTCATTCAATTATGTGCAAATAGTCTGGGAATGGTATGAATCCATCTCCTCCCCCCAACTATAGGTCAAATAGTAGAACTTGTATTTGGAAAAAATGTTAATGCAGTATTCACTTGCAAAAAAAAAAAAAATTTTACAATCCAAAAATATTTTGACTTTATAACCTATAAATGGTTAATAAGCCACAAAAAAATCATTCAACAAAATTAAATAAATAAAAGAAATAAAGTAAAAAATAATTCAAAATTTACCATATTTATATTATGTAAGACCAAAGTAACCAATGAATACAATACTAATTTACTAATATAATAGATGCTAGAACTGATTCTCAAATTTGTGGATTATGTTTACTGTTCAGTAAACAACTGTATTATATAAACATTTTGAAAATAAATTAGAAAAGTTATAAAATTGACATTAAGGGTTAATATATTACATCCATTACACTTGTCATATGCTTAAAATAGTGGTCAGATACAATTTCTCACTTAGTGACCAGGATGTTGAAATAGAAGTTAGTTGTTAAGTGAGGCGTGGCTGTATTTTCATAAAAATATGGTCATTAAGTGATAACATAATATGGTCATTAAGTGAGTTGTATTTTCAGAACAGTATAGTCACTAAGTGAAGTGTGGTTGTATTTGTCTAACATAATGATCATTGAGTAAAGAGTGGTTATATTTTCATAACAGAATATGATTGCTTAGTGAGGAATGGTTGTATTTTCCAAACAGAATATGGTCATTAAGTGAGGAGTGGCTGTATTTTCCAAACAGAATATGGTCATTAAGTGAGGAATGGCTGTATTTTCCAAACAGAATATGGTCATTAAGTGAGGAGTGGCTGTATTTTCCAAACAGAATATGGTCATTAAGTGAGGAGTGGCTGTATTTTCCAAACAGAATATGGTCATTAAGTGAGGAGTGGCTGTATTTTCATTACAGTATATGATCGCTCAGTGAGGAGCGGCTGTATTTTCATTACAGTATATGATCGCTCAGTGAGGAGCGGCTGTATTTTCATTACAGTATATGATTGCTCAGTGAGGAGCGGCTGTATTTTCATTACAGTATATGATCACTCAGTGAGAAGCGGCTGTATTTGCAAACAGATATAATTCATTTCTTGTAATGCATTAAAAATATTTTCCTACAGAAATTTATTAACAATAATTTCCATGTTTTTACTTTTCTCTGACAGGTACAAATGGTGGTGTTTCTTTAGCAGGCCTGCTTGCCAGTGTTCTTGGTGGCCTTATTGTGGGTGTCACTTATTACCTGACATTATTATTTTCATTAAACCAAAGACTCTTATATAAAAGTCCTCCACAGTGGCCAATCGTTTTACAAGGAATTTGGGGCGGATTGGTTGGTTCTTTAATCGACTCTTTCCTTGGTGCTACTGTACAATTTTCAGGTAAGGCAGTTCATTTTGAGAAGCATTTACATTTGTTATCTTGCAAAATCACTGATAATTTAATTTTTTTTTTCACTTCAGCATATATGTTGGACAGTCAAAAAAAATGTTAATTCTGTTTCTGTCAGATGTCAATAGGAACATTTAGTTTTTACCAACTTCATTTAAAGAGCTGGTTGTTCTACCATCCATTCATACCAACTTGTCAGGCATGTGGCCTGCTACCTTCCCCTATGTGTCTTGTTCTATATGTCAGTTAGCGTCATCATTGAAGATAGAAGAAAAAATATTTCTAGCTTATGTATATTTTTTTTTATTTTAAGAAAGAATTTGAATCTTGAGAATGATTTGAAAACAGCCATTTGAGCAGGAACATATGGACAATTCTTGTATCCATAAATGGTCAATCATCAGGAAACAAAATTATATATAAAAAAAAAACTTTTGTAATGATAAGCTTTAATTATGGAAAGGGAAAATTGCTCTGAAATATTGTGGAAAATTTCCAAGTTTTCATCTAAAATCAAGTGAATACAAACCTTAAGGAAAAAAGGTGTCAGTTTAAACTGAATCCAAGAAAATATGCAGGCAAAGTTTAATCTTTGGACTCATAAAAATAAAGTGTGCTAAAAGGACATTTTTTTTTCTCTTGACACTACTATTACTGTTTTAGGGCAGGTGTTGATTTTGGAACCATGGCATTTTGAAAGTTGGGGCTTGACATGATAAATAATTACACAAAATATTTTTTTCCAAATTGTTATCGTTTTTTGAAGAAACGAGTTTAAAGATTAAGTTTAGGTCCAGAATTGTTCCAGAAGTGTTAGAATTTAATTTCAGTGATCAGTGAAAGCCTTACAGCACAGCTTTATAAAATTTATAATTTGCCAAAGTTTCACAAATTTTATATGGACAATTACATGATTACTAAATCAATGTGCCATTAAATAAGATGTTCATTTACTTCAAAGGGAAGTTATACAGAAGAATTTATTTATATTATGATGTATACAGTGCAGTAGTTTTTGTACAATTTTCAATAAACAATGCAAATTTAAAACATTGTCTTATAATTTAAGCCCAGCAATATTTTCATGTGATATACACTTTTATCTATATTTTTTGTTTTTATTAATTACTAGCAGCATGGCCCAGCGTTGCCCGTGCTTGATTCAAAAATCGGACGACTCATACAACAATCGCTATCACTTGACTTAAAATAATTTTGCCCTTCCTTGCCTTTAAAGGAGTGCCCTTTGCCATGCTGATGTTGCTACATGCCTTACTTCTTGCCTATCTCACACTGCAAATTTTTTCTAAGCTCTACACTAAACATTAAATCTGTTACGAAAAAAGAACTAAACAAAATGAACACAAAACGATCAGCTTTAAAAAAGGACTCGTAACTGGAAAAACCGAATGAAAAAAGGATGCTAACAACAAATACTTTTTCACACCCAACCCAGTTCTGCGGAATCAGAATCAGCGTTGAGTTTAAGCAAGTGAATGAGCCAGTTGGAGTAAAGTGCAATGCAGATTTAAATTTTTCCCACTTGTGACGAATGCAGCTATCGATTTTTTTTTTTTTTTTTTTTTTGAATGCTAGCATGCTAGTTAACATTTGTGTCAGTCAGCTGTTGGCTCTCATGCTGGCCAATAGAATTTTCCTGCCTATTTGTGGCAGCCAGCTATAGGCTCTCACTCTGGCCAGTAGAAAATGGCCGCAAACTACATGAAAATTGCCGTAGAAGCATGAAAAAATTGATTACTTCCACTATCGTTGGGAGTTGGGAAATGCAAAGTCAATCTTGGCCTTCCCGCTAACTTGGAGCATGTGCATGTAAATTTTGGTGCAAATCCGTCAAAAATTGTGGCCGTGCATTCGTTACACACAGACACACACACACACACACACACACACACACATCCTGCCTTTTATAGATAGAGATACACACACACATCCTGCCTTTTATAGATAGAGATACACACACACATCCTGCCTTTTATAGATAGAGATACACACACACATCCTGCCTTTTATAGATAGAGATACACACACACATCCTGCCTTTTATAGATAGAGATACACACACATCCTGCCTTTTATAGATAGAGATACACACACACATCCTGCCTTTTATAGATAGAGATATACACACACACACATCCTGCCTTTTATAGATAGAGATATACACACACACACATCCTGCTTTTATAGATAGAGATATACATACACACACATCCTGCCTTTTATAGATAGAGATATACATACACACACATCCTGCCTTTTATAGATAGAGATATACACACACACACATCCTGCCTTTTATAGATAGAGAGATATACACACACACACATCCTGCCTTTTATAGATAGAGATATACACACACACACATCCTGCCTTTTATAGATAGAGATATACATACACACACATCCTGCCTTTTATAGATAGAGATATACACACACACACATCCTGCCTTTTATAGATAGAGATATATACACACACATCCTGCCTTTTATAGATAGAGATATACATACACACACATCCTGCCTTTTATAGATAGAGATATACACACACACACATCCTGCCTTTTATAGATAGAGATGATCTAACAAATTTTATTCATTGTATGTAATTTTTTATGTAATCTTTTACAGTTTTTTATTTTATTGAATACAGTAAAAAAAACAAAAAAACTGCACATATTGCTTGTGGGGATTCATAATTAAAATTCTGATTTGAATTTATTTTCCATTCAATTTTATCAAATACAAAAGATAGCAACTTTATTTGAGTTTATTCTTGAAATAGTAAAATTTTAAAGTCAGTTTGTAAGAAAAAAACTAGTAGAGATTAAGTATTTATGTACATTTTCTGGACAATCTTTAAAACTAAATACTCCAAAATTGTTAAGAGCTATGTATCTAATTTTTGGTGTCAGTACTTATCACATCAAACCCCAGCTTTCACACCAAATGCAATATTGATTTTCTAAAAATAAAAAAAAGGGTGAAAAACCAACCTGCCTTACCTCCTAATGCATACTCCCTTGACAATGTTTATTGTTTCAAAGAGCTATGTTAAGACATTTGATAAAAACTAAAATATTTCACACTATTTTGTTGTTATATTATTTATTTACAAGATTAATTGTATATTTACAGGATTATAAAAATATGTAGATCAACTAAAATGTAATATTTATTATTTACCATTTTATAAAGAAATAAGAAAGCAAAAAGAAAATCTGAACTATAGTCCAAGAAAATTTAAATAAACATATGGTTTGGTTCAATAAGATCAAATTGGCAGCTGATCTCAAGAGTGACTTAAAATCTACTGTTAACAGGGCAAGGAATGGCTTGTTAATTTTAATGCTGCCAAAACAAAACTGCTTTTTATTAATCATCTGAGAGAACTCTTTCTGCCTTCCACCAGTAGAGTAACTCTTTGCACCTTCTTGGGATAATGTTCTCTGCTGACAGGAAGTGGAAAGATTATGTTAAATTAATTGCTAGGTCTGCTGCTATGAAAATTGGTTCACTGTGTTTTGCTAGACAGTTTTTCTCTCCAGAACCTATCTTAACTATTTTATAAGTCTACCATTTGTCCATGCTTTGAATATTGCTGTCACATCTGGTCTCATTCTCCTGCTATATATTTAGAAATTCTTGATAAAATCCAAAGAAGAATCAGCAATGTTATTAGTCTTTATCTGTCATACTGGCTTCAGTCACTTTCTTACCACCGTAATGTAGCTTCCCTGTGCCTTTTCTACAAATACTTTCACGGTAACTATTTTAATGAACATTCCACTATGGTACCTAGACTTTATTCATTTAAGTGCAGTACTAGATTGGCAGTTAGGGTTCATCATTTTGCAGTAGAAATGGCTTGATGCAACCATAAGTTCTTTGCTAATAGTTTCTTCTCTTGCTCTTCTTGCCTATGAAACTCTCTTCCGGCTTCTTGCATTCCATCTAACTTTGATCTTCAAAAGTTTATATACAATGTCAGTCATTATCTACTGTCTTTTTCATTTCTCTTTTATTGTTCTCATTCCTTAATAATGTTTTTCTTTTTCTTTCATACTTATGTCTTAGTGGCTTTATTGCCTTGCTCGGAGTGAAATAATTAAAAAAAAATTCTTTTTGGACATATATTTTTTTGTATCTCAGAATATTACATTTTTTATTTTTATAATTGTGATATAGGATAAAGGATGTCTAATTAATAGAAATACCTCGTAAGAATTGCAGACATTTTGTAATTATACCTGAGGAAAACCCTGTCTATCCAATGAATAAAGGAGATACACACTCACAATATTACTTGTAGTTCACATACTGAAATAATATTTTTCGTGTTCTACTTCAGTTTAATATTTTCTTTGTGATCTGATTCCATTGGTTAAAAAAGATATGAATACATTTCCTATGTAACAGTACTGTGATTGACATTATCTGTAAAAAAAAAAAAAAAGAAAAGTGGATCACAGAGCCTTGATATTTCTCTGACTCCTGATTGGTCAATTAATGTCAATATCATGTTTTCCACTATGTCCGCACAGTTAAAATTAATTTACTGCCAAAAATCTGTCTATGTGTTTCGAGCCTATCAGGTGATATACAACATTATAAATACGAGTGATATCTTTAACTCTTTCTTTTTTTTTCTCCTTTGCCTTCTCTCACACACAAGATGTGACATTAGAGAGATTAAATTTGTCCTTTAAGGGCAAATGCTATGAAACACGCATATACACACACATGCACACACTCACACATACATACGCACATCTATGACATCTATTCATTCCTTTATAGTGACTACTACTACGTTTGTCACACCTACATTTTTCTCAACTGTGATTGGTTAAATAATAAATACTGTTTACCACAGGACAATTTGCTGATCGCAGTCACCCTACTGAATTTTTCCTGCTGTGAATTTCACAAACATGCTTTTGTTAAAAAATCACCGATTGGTTAATTTTTCATCCAATCATATATTTTTTGTGTTCGTTCAAATTTCTCCCGCCTTTGTTCCTGGATCCTAAAAGCAACGTTTTGTTCCAAAAATAGACAGTAGAATTCAGTAACTCACACGCGTCTACGCAGACTATTGATTCTACTCACTGCGCACACACAGACACAAAACTTGAATTACATTTTGCCATCAGTTCTCTGTGAACAAGCCAAGTTACAAAACAACACTGTTAGTTATACAAATAACACACAACTGAATTAACTGTATGTTCTTCTGAATGCAACATTCTATTTCAACATAGAACTTTGAACATTCTATTCAATAACAGATAAAGGGAAACTACTTTTTTCTCCTTAATATTCACACAATACAAAAATTGTTTTGTATTTGTTGATTTTAATATATATTTCATTGTTGAAAAAAATATCGGTTTTTCATTGTTTTTCCTTGATTCAATAATGTATGAATGTTAAATGCTCTTCAACACACATTAATCTTTTCAACATAAGCAACATTTACACCTTCAACTACAAGGACACTCGCCAACGTCTAACAGTGAGTTTTGCGAAATCAAACAATTTGACAAACAAATTCACAACATTTAAATCTTTGAAGTTTTTAAGTTAGATTTCTTAACATAATCCCAAACTCTGAATTCACTTACTCAACACACAAGCTACACTTCAAATTTAATATCTACGATTTTTATCAAGACCAAAAGAATTCTACTCAGATAATATACAGTTTGACAAACAAAAATTTTATTCAAAAAGCAACTTTGAACATAATGAAAACTTACTTCGAGTCAACTATCTTACAACCAAAAAAATCTTAATATTTAATGCACAATTTACTCAAAAGTTATAAGTTTAAAAGTTCATCTTTTAAACACAAAATTCAACTTTTGATATCAACCAACATTTCATTTATCAATTTCAATTACAACACACTTTCCAGGAAAAATACAACTTACTTTCTTCAAAAGACTTTACTCATTTGTTGCATCAACTTTATTCATGTAATATTTAAACTTCCATCTTTTTATCTGTTTTATTAACAAAAAATATATATTCAATAGTCAACAGATAAAGGGAGACAACTCCTTAATCTCCAATATCAAATTTTGACAGAAATTTACGATGTAATCTGAACTGATTCTTCGAAAATCCTTTTACTGACAGGAACACTGAACAAACTCTCTATCTGTCTTAAAGAACATCCTCATTCTCATGGTGTATATATATTTATTTATATATATATATATATATATATATATATATATATATATATATATGCTTTATTCTTGTTTTTCTTAAAAGGAATATTGTTTGATTTTTTATATTTTGTCATTGATGACTTGTGCCATACCCAAAGTTAAATGTTTGTAGAGAAGTTTATATTCACGCAGCCAACACAAATGATACCTTCTGATATCTAGATATTTTCCCTAATAATCTACTCCCCCGCAACAATCTTGTAAATATAAAATGTATCTTGTAACAACTAAATACTGTTTAACATTTTTGTTAATAAAATGCCTGACATAGCTTTTTAAAGCAATAAACATTGCCGAGGGAGTCGAAAGTATACAGTAATAGCAGTGTCAAGGGATGACGCACCGTTATCTTTTTGGGATTCAAAGGTTAAACATTACCGATATGGTTTAATAGAAATTGGATGAATGAAAATGTTCTTCGCAGTTACCTCCCTTAGTTGTCTCAAATCAAGTTATGTCCAAGGAAGAAATTCTGAAGAGAGTAAATTATTATGTTTTGCAGCTGTACACGCAGTGTAATTTTAAGTAAAGGAATTTAAAAGAATCCAAAATGAGAAGTTAAAGTGTCAGAATTAAGATATTAATATGAGGATATCTGGAAAATAAGGTTGCTATTCCAAAATATTAAATGCACTATTAATGACACGGTACTAACACATCTGACCACAATTTTGACATAAAAACATGCCAGACTCATTAGAAGAGAAAAGAATTTACTAAGAAGAAAATATATTGAAAGTGCACTGATTTCACAAGTCTACCTGGTTAACTTGCGATACTACTGACACCCATGTAGAAAGAGAAGAGGTGGTTTTATCTCGATCTCAAATGTTTCTGTTTGAGAGATCAGTGGATGGGTCCTTTTGAAGTTTGGTCTTCTAAGTAGCATTCACTTTAGCAAAGGGTAATGGGAAGAAAAAGGGTAAATGCGGGATTATTGGGGATCAAGTGGCAACAAAACTGGTAATAGGGTATATCTGAGCACACAAATGCAGATATATATTCAGTCACCATCATGACGATGAAGGCAGACACCCACTTGCTGGCCCATGTGAGTATAGTTTCGCTCTAGCAGAAACCCATTTACATTTTTCATTTTTTTTTTTTTGTTCTTTTTTGTTCTTTACGTTTTTAAATTTTTCTATTTTTTCCCTCCCCCCCCACTCAAAGGCATTTTGTCCCAATGATTCTCCTTATTTGATAGTTTAGTAAGAAATCCTGGTTCGAAAGTTAAAAAAAAAAAGAAAACTGGAAAAATGGAAAATTGAATGTCTTTGACTAGATGCGAGGGTGTCTCGTCAGTATTCTAACGATGTTGTGACAGTATCTTTTTGCTTGATACATTGTCTGAAAATGGAATTGTTTTAGCCGCTCCATCTCCTCTTTCTAAATCTTATTGAAAGCATATCTCCCAAGCCCAGTACTTGGTGAGGGCGGAGGATTGGCCGTTGATTCCCCCCCCCCAACCAGGTCGACGCTTGGACATAAGGTAAGCCGTATATCAGTCACCATCATGACGATGAAGGCAGACACCCACTCCATCCTAGGCCCCACTCTATTCCTTATCTACATAAATAACCTTCCTGACGCCAGAATTTCCCAAGTTGGCATCTACTGTGGATGACACCACAATTTATTTCGCCTCAAAAACAAATCTAGTCTTGCTGACAAAACTCACCTGGCCGGAAGGTCTGAAAAAGGACCTCCAATCGATTGTGAACTGGGGCATGAATTGGCTGGTCAACTTCAACGCTTCAAGACAAAACTGCTCTCTATTAATCACCACAGAGAGCCTCCCCTTCCCTCCATTAGAATGTCTGACGCTCAACTTCTCGAGAGCAACTCTTTGCGGCTGCTCGGTCTCACGTTGACTGCTGACCTGAGATGGAATAAATACATCGAGTCAATTGCCTCGTCCACCGCAAGAAAAGTTGTCTCCCTGAGCCGCGCCAATTCTACAAATCAACAATTTGCCCTTGCATGGAGTATTGCTGCCATATATGGTCTGGTGCCCCTTCTGTTTGTCTCGGGGTTCTTGATAGGCTCCAGAGGTGGATATGCAATGTAGTTGGCCCTGCCCTTGCGTCTCGTCTACAATCACTTTCTCACAGACGTGCCGTCGCTTCCCTCTGTCCGTTTTACAAATACTTTCATGGAAATTGCTCTGAGGAGCTGCATTCGCTGGTTCCCAGACGTCATGAGTTCCGACGCCTCACGAGGCTGGCATCCCGCCTCACCCCCCTCACTGTCGAAACTCCTAAATGTAGCCGCTTTCTTCTTCTCTAATAGCTTCATGTCTCACACCTCTCGCTTGTGGAACACCCTTCCCTTCTCCTGTTTCCCTGTGAGCTATAATCTCCAGCTATTCAAGTGTAATGTCAATCGACATCTCCAGTTGCCTTAATCTATCCACTACCCTCATCCTTTCTTCTATCACTCCTATCTGATCTTGTTATTTTCTGTAACTCCTTGCGTCTTAGTGGCTTCCCGCCTTGCTTGGGGTGAAATGCTTAAAAAAAAAAAATTTTGTGTAATATAGAAAGTGGCTATAATGATTTCATTTTTATTTATTTGCAGGTTATGACACTGAACGACGTGTGATTGTTGAACAGCCTGGTCCCTTCGTGAAACACATTAGTGGACGGCCTTGGCTCAGTAATCATTCTGTCAACTTAGTTTCAGGATTCGTTACTGCCATGTTGTCACCTTCTGTTGCTTATTACATATGGCCGTTTTTCAGTTAGATGCTGATTACCATTAAGATCTGACAAACTTTAGTCATTGATTTCCCTCTTTCTGAAGAAATTGTTCATGAAAACTTGGCTCCTTTAATAGTTCTTATTGAGTATTACATACATGATATTAAGACTCTTGACTAAACAAACCAGTAGACATAAATTTACACTGTGCAAAAAAAACATGGCTGTCTACTTAAATACATATATCCACTAAATATAACACTTAAAATTAATGTCGGATGAAAAATAAAATTTATTACCGTATTTGATGGCATATAAGATGCACTTTTTTTTACTAAAAATATCTTTTAAAATTTGGTTGTGTCTTATAAGCCATATGTAGGTTTACTAATTTTACTAATTACTAATTTTTTTCTTGATTTGCCCTGCTGAAATTGGAGTGTGTCTTATACACCCATGCATCTTATATGCCGTCAAATACGGTAATTCCTTAGTTTATGGGCTTTGAAAAGTCTGAACAAGAGATGTGCATTTCTTAAATAGGGTAATTGAGTCTTGCTTGTCTAGGAAAGCCTTTCATGGCTGAATGGTTTAAAATGGCATGCCAAGCACATTACTGGTTTTCCTTACAAGGAGGATGCAGTTTCAAAAACTGCCAGAAGACACATTTTCTAAGATACTCAAGTGCACAGGCCGGTAGACATAAATTTACACTGTTTAAAAATCATAGATGTCTACGCAGGCACGTTTATCCACTAAATGTAACGTTTCTAAAACAACATTTAAAATAAGTATTTGGATTTTTTTAGATGAAGCATCAATATAATTCATTTTTGACAAGTCTTTTTTTTCTTTTCATCTTATATTTTTTTTGTAACTTACATATGTCCATTAAGTGATCTGAATCGAAAATAAAGGAATAAGCATCTGTCAAGAATTTTTTTTTTTTTTTGTATGTAATTCCTGATCCAAGAATCCAAGAATTGGATCAGGACTAAAAACACTTATAACAATCTGGAAATTGCAGGATAAATAAGATGAAAGAAAGATGAGATAAAAATCCATATTATAAAATGGTAATATTAGCTGTTTCCTTACAAGGAAACATTTGGCATGTATTTACTGAATACTCACTTTTGCTTGAAATTTATGAAACCTTTCTCAAACCCAGTAGCGGTTATCACTTTTTCCAGTAATGATGGGTATTTCCTTCCTAACCTTTTATTTGAAGTAATGTGAAACATCAGCATCTTCATTGTATCATTATTTTCTCTTCAAGGTACATGTGCTATCCATTTTAGCTGTTGCTGCTGTTGTAAGTCCTTGTGATGCTGTTCCTGTTATTGGGTACAGTTCTTTGTGATTCTGTAGCGCTAGTCTACAAGATTTGAAGCAGGATAGTCTTCACCAAGACACACAGGCTTCACTCGCTCAAAGCCGTTTTTAGCCATTGATCTTAGAAAGTGGTTGTATACAGCTGAGGGTTTAGATATTTCTGAACAGGTTTGGCACCATGCATGGCATCCATATGAAAGTCTGGATCTGACGAGGACCTTTTCAGAACATGGCTTGAGTTTTCAGGTTGATGTTTTGATCTTGCAGCAATGTGCAGTGTTGGTCAGAAATGAAGAACTGATTGTCTGTCACACACTGCGTATGACTTTAAATCCAAACAAATTTTTGAAGTGATTCAGTCTTTCTTATCAAATTGTGAAATGAAGGTTATCCTGAATGGCCACTCGTCTAGATCCTTTCATACTAATGCAGGTGTCTCCCAGAGCTCTATCTTTGGTTCTACTTTGTTTTTAATATTCATCAATGGCCTTCCTGATGGCCTCAGCACTCAACTTGGTATCTACATTGATGGCACAACCATTTACTCCTGTCGCGATATCAGTTCAATAGGGTTAAATTGGCGGCTGATTTCAAAAATAACCAACAGTCTGTTGTTAACTGGGGCAAAAGATGGCTTGGTAATTTTAATGCCTCCAAAACAAAACTGCTCTTTATTAATAATCTTAGAGATCCCTTTCTGCTTTCTATCAGTATGGCTAATGCTAACCTTCAGGAGAGTGATTTGTTGCACCTTCTTCAGTTAACATTCTTGGCTGACATGAAGTGGAAAAACTATATTGACTCCATTGCAAGGTCTGCTGCTAAGAAAGTTTGTTTACTATGTCATGCTAGACAATTTTTCTCTCCAGAATCTATCTTACATATTTATGAGTTTACCATTCATCTATGCTTAAAATATTGCTGCCACTTATGGTCTGGTATACCTGCTATAAATTTGGAGACCTTGTTAATATCCAAAGAAGAATCAGCAATATTATTGGTTCTGATCTGGCATCTCAGCTTCAGTCACTTTCCAACTGGTGTAAAGTCGCTTCCCTGTGCCAATTTTTATAAATACTTTCATGGTAATTGTTTGAATGAGCTTTTTGCCAGGGTACCTAGAATTTATGAATTTAAGCACAGTACTAGGATTGGCAACAAGATCTCATCAATTTACAGTTGAATTGGCTAGATGTAAACATAAGTTCTATGATAACAGTTTCTTTTCTTGCACTTCTCGCCTGTGGAACTCTCTTCTGCCCCCATGCTTGCCATTCAACTTTAATCTTCAAAAATTGAAATGTAATGCCAGTCATTATATCCTGTCTTCCTGATTATTCTTCTATTGTTCTAGCTCCTTAATAGAGTTTGTTTTCTAATTCTTTCAAACTCAGTAATTCCTTGTGTCTTAGTGGCTTTACTTCCTTGCTTGGGGTGAATTTGTTTAAAATGTGTGTATATATATATATATATATATATATATATATATATATATATATATAGGGTGACCCTAAAAAATGGGATCTTTTTAACAATCCAATAAAACCAAGAGTGATGGAAGAAAAATATTTTATTCATAGTAATTGAAACCTTAAAACATGTCATTTAAGAAACAATGATGGAATTTTCATTGTTTTTAAAATAACGTCCTGTAGATGGCATCCTCCTGTATGAATGCATTCTTGAAATCTGCTGTTGAGATTCCTCATTGACTGCTGCAGCATCTCAGCTGGGATACTGGGAATTTCATCTTGAATTCTAAATGGCGAAATGTTTACTTGCTCAAGGTCACTGTCTCACAGTGTTGCCGCTTGCTCATGTCTGGCAATACGCACTTCAAAAATTCCCGTTTTTTAGGTCACCCTGTATATATGTGTGTGTGTTTGTCTGTGTTGTATATGAGTGACATACATGGACTTGTGTCATTTAATATATACACAAGCACATGCATATACACACAATGTTGTAAGTCTTGGTAACTGAAGAGAGGCATGAAGTGAATCAAAGCCTCGCTCAAGCCTCGTACTTGTCAAGTACAAACTCTAGAATTTTAGTTACTATTTATATGAACGTGGGGAGAACGCTAACTCACATGATATTTAAATAGTTTGACATTCTTCCCTCCCAGAAAATAAGGACTTTTTTTATTAACATATATAGGTAGGTAGGTAGTAATCCATTGATATAATCCAGGTGAATCCTATTAACACAACATAGAATTTGTTATATGTTAAAACTGACTCATAAAAGAATGGTTCATGTTTATTTTCATTAAACAGAGAAAATTTTCTTTCAATTGGAATTAAGATACCTTTAGTAAATGACCATTTTCACCTATGAATTTTAATTTTAGTGTACACTACAAACTGATACCATAAACAGTTTGAAAAATCCTGTGAATTTTAAAATTAAAATTTATAGGTGAAATTGGTCATTTACTAAAGGTATCTTAATTCCAATTGTAAAGTGTATGTGTGTGTATATATATATATATATATATCATGATACAAACACAAAATCTATGTTGTTTAAAGATTTGTTTTTTTTTAAACTGATGACACAAAACTTTCCATTACACCCATGTCATATGGGGGGGGTCTTTGATGTATGGTTTGATGTCCAAGGTTGGTCTGTATTAACTGTCCTGGATATTGGTTTTCTGTTTAAAATCTTTTATTTTCAGTTGATGACTCATCTAGAGTCAGTGACGATGGAGAAGGTATTGGACTACTACTTTCTTCTGTGGAGAAATTGTTTGAGATTCGTAAAGTTTGCCGATGTAGAGAGGGTTCTGACAGATCAGGACAGGGAGCCAAATCTCAAACAGATACAGTTGATTGTCTTTCATCAGGAGACTCGATGTTAGCAAAGGTTGGATTGCTATCAATCAGTTCCACTTTATTTACTAAAGGATTGTTCTTGTTAGTACAGACAAATCATCTTAAAAGTACTACTTGAGGTCTCATTAACCAAGATGGGAGTGACATCCCATGAGAAGTACACTTTTGAAACTTGAAGAATCGCTCATGAGGTGTACAGGCAAATAGTTTTCCATATAATCCCAATGTATCACTCTACCTGACCATTTTCTTGGGGTGGCGTAGAATTATTTGTTGCAATACTTTTACTCAGTAAATACTCTTTCAGTTTTTGGGATATGAGAGAATGACCTCTATTTGAGTGAATATAACTCAGCATTACACATATACTAAACAAAGTCTCCAGGCAGTTAATAACTATTGGAGTGTTCATATTTAGGCATGGAAATGCAAATGGCTACCAAGAATATTCATTGACACTCACTAACAAGTATGGATTAGGAATTGCTTTTGTGAGAAGCCCCTTAAATTGATACATTTCATAGGTCAAGTAGCTTAAAAGCTACTTGACCTATGAAATGTATCAATCAAGTACCTTAGGGCGGTTGATAGAATTTTGGTTTTAACATATCACAAACTCTGCATGATGCGCAGATATTTTTAGCATCTACAGTAGAAAAGGGGAGATTTCTTGATCTTACAATATGCAAAAATCTTGATACTCCTGGATGGCATAATTCCTTGTGTAAATCCTCAAGAGTCGAACCTTGAGAATTTACTGATGCACAGCAGACACGATTAATAGCATCCACAGTGACATTACTCTTCCCATGTCGATATTCGATATCGAAGCTTAGTTCACCAAGCTTCATTTTCTATTCATTAATTTTG